CTGTTGACATTTGAAAGTAGGATAGAGAGAAACACTACCAACTCTCTCAATGTGGATGGCTTTAGAGGTTTTGCTAATATTGCATCTCAGCAGACAGCAAAAAGGGGAGGATTTGCTCCTAATTCTAGCACCAGAGGCAGATCTAACCAAACTAGAGGTGGCTATAGAGGAGGAAGGTATGGAAGAACCAACAATTATAGAGGAAGAGGAGGAAGACGCAACTTTGTGAAATGTCAAATTTGCCAAAAAGATGGTCACACAACAGATAGATGCTATAGTAGGTTTGATCAATCTTACACCTACTCTCAGAACAACAACTTTAGAGCCCAACCTAATTACCAGAACATGGCCAACATGGCCAATTTGAGCTCTTACAGTGGAAGGACCTATGGAGGATCATAAAATAGCTAAAACTTCCAAGACTCACAGTGGTTACCAGACTCAGGAGCAACCAATCACATCACTGCGGATTTGAACAATCTTAACATTGCCACTGAGTATCATGGTGATGATAAGATTGAAATGGGAAATGGTGCATGTATGCCTATCACTCACATTGGCTCATCTATGTTTAAATCTGTTTCCAATAAGAATCATTCCTTTGTCCTAAACAATCTCCTATGTGTGCCTCATATAACCAAAAACCTTTTGAGTGTCTCTCAATTTGCTAAAGACAATGGTGTATACTTTGAATTTCATCCTTTTTTCTGTCTTCTCAAGGACCAAACCACAGGGGAGATTCTTCTCAAAGGCAAGCTTATTAATGGTCTTTACTGCTTTGACATGATCCAAGCCAAGAGAAGTAAAGTTGCAGCTCCTCCCTCTCACCTCAGAAAGTTCAAACCTCAGACTCATTCTGCCTTCATCAAAAATAAACTTAGCTTAGACCTTTGGCACAATAGATTAGGACATGCTTCCTTTGATATTGTAAAAAAGGCTCTCAAAAGTTGTAATCTTGACTTTTATGACAATGGCAGCAGACCTCTATGTTCTTCTTGTTTCATGGGCAAATGTCACAAACTCCCTTTTGATGATTCTATTGCTGATTATTATGATGTGCTTGAGCTTATTTATACTGATCTGTGGGGACCTTGTCCCATCAAATCTACCACAAGTCACAATTATTATATTAATTTTGTTGATCATAGAACCAGGTTCACTTGGATCTATTTTTTGAAATCCAAATCAGATGCAGCAAATGCATTTATTCATTTCAAGACCCTTGTTGAGAACAAATTCTCTAAGAAGATTAGAATAGTCCAAAGTGATGGTGATACTGAATACAAACCCCTTTCTGATTTCTTTCTTCAAAATGGCATTACTCATAGAATGTCATGTCCTTATACCCCAGAGCAAAATGGCATGGCTGAAAGAAAGCATAGGCATATAGTTAATTATGGCATGTCACTTTTAGCTCACTCTTCTGTCCCTAAAAGATATTGGGATCATGCATTTTCAACTGCTGTATACCTCTTAAATAGAGTTCCTAGCAAAGTCTTGAACTTTTTGTCACCCTTTGAAGCCTTGACAGGTTTGAAACCATCTTACAGTCACATTAAAGTGTTTGGTTGTGCATGTTATCCTTATCTAAAGCCTTATAACCTTCATAAACTTGACTTTAAAAGCCAGAAAAGTGGTTTTGTTGGTTATCATGATCAATACAAGGGCTACAAAGTTCTCTTGTCCAACAAGAAAATCATTATTTCTAGACATGTCACTTTTGATGAAACTGTTTTTCCTTTCCAAGACAAAGCTGAAACCTCATCAAACTCTAGACATTTTGATACAGATCACACTGTTGCCCCACTTGTTCTTTCTACTCCCCCTATGCCACCACCCCATTCTCCACCTTTCAGAATGCATGCTCCTACTCTTCCTTCCACTCCATCTTCCTCAGCCTCCCATCACTCTACCTCTCATAATACTGCCTCCCATCATTCTAATTCCCATCATTCTAGCTCACCACAACCACATTCTCCCACTATTCCTATTGGACAGATTTTCATTGATTTGCCAATTGATAATGATAGGTCCAATATTCCTACATCTTCTACTGCTCCTAACACTGTTCATGCAGAGAATGTTCATCCTATGATCACAAGGGGCAGAGCTGGCATATCTAAAAAGAAGGTGTTTTCTTGCTCACCTCAAACTGGTGATGTGTTGAACCATCCTCTCTTGATGAAGCTCTTCACAACCAAAACTGGAAAAGAGCAATGGACTTTGAATATCAAGCTTTGCTTGATAACAATACCTGGATTTTAACTACTCTGCCACCAGGTAAGAAAGCAGTAGGCTGCAGATGGGTTTTTAAACTTAAAAAACATGCTGATGGATCAGTGGCTAGGGTTAAGGCCAGACTAGTAGCCAAAGGATTTAGCCAAGTGCCTGGTTTGGATTTCACTGAGACACTTAGTCCTGTGGTCAAACCTGCCACAATCAGGACTGTCTTATCTATTGCAGTTACAAAAAACTGGTCCATTAGACAAGTTGATGTGGATAATGCATTCTTAAATGGTGATTTAGACACTACAAGCTACATGATGCAGCCTCCAGGTTATGAGAAAGGAGAGAATTCAGTGTGCCTGCTCAAAAAATCAATTTATGGCCTTAGACAAGCTTCCAGATCTTGGTTTTTTAAACTAGGAACTATTCTTTGTTCTCTTGGTTTTAAAGGATCCAAGTCAGATACCTCTTTATTTATTAAGGCTGAAAAAGAATGTACCATTTTCATATTGGCCTATGTGGATGATTTAATTATTACAGGTAATGATGATCATCAGATTGATCATATCATTTTTGTACTAAACAGTCATTTTGCTCTCAAAGACTTGGGTCCTCTTACTTATTTCTTGGGTTTGGAAGTTACAAGATCCACAAATGGATTGTTTCTCTGTCAATCCTCTTACATACAGAACATACTCAAGAAAGCAGGCATGAGTAACTGCAAAGCTTTAAGCACTCCCATGATTCCCTCACCTGGGCTGTCTAAATACCAAGGTCACCCTATTGAAAATAGCACTTTATACATGCAGTTTGTTGGTGCTCTTCAATATGCAACAATAACTCGGCCAGAAATTTCCTTTTCAGTTAACAAATGCAGCCAATACATGCAAAACCCTCTTGACAGTCATTGGAAAGCCCTCAAACGTTTGCTGAGGTATCTTAGTGGTTCTATAAATTCTGGCCTTCACATTACCAAATCTCCTTCATTGCAGCTTGTTGCTTATGCTGATTCTGACTGGGCCACTGATCTTGACGATCGAAAATCCACATCTGGCTTTTGTGTTTTTCTTGGTGGGAACCTCATTTCATGGAGTAGCAAGAAACAAAAGACTATAGCCCGTTCTAGCACTGAAGCCGAATGTAGGAGTCTTGCAGCTGCCACTTGTGATGTCATCTGGTTGCGATCCTTATTATCTGAGCTTCATGTCCCTCAAACTCAAGCTACAACTGTTTGGGTTGACAACTTAGGCCCTGTCCTGCTCTCAGCAAATCCTGTTCATCACTCCAAAACTAAACACGCCGCCATTGATCTTCATTTTATACGAGAACAGGTTCACTCCCATACCATTTCTGTTCATCATATCCCTGCTCTTCATCAGGTAGCCGACATTCTTACTAAGCCGTTAACAGGTCAATTCTTCACTCGGCTTCGCACCAAACTCTGCGTGCAACCGAAGACCTCGCTTGAATTGAAGGGGGCATAATAGCATATATAAAGACTTAGTCAATATTTATGTTCATTTGCTTTATTTCCTCTTATAGACGTATGCATGGTACACCCATGCACATGTGGCTTTCTCTTTTTTTTTGTAAAGTTTGTCTTATTGTTTCTTTGTGTTCAACCATTGATTTATCATCCTATGGCTCATATGGTTCTAGTCTTTGTATTTAAGACATTTGCTATTCTCTTTCTAGGGTTAATGAAACATTCTCAAACTTGCAGCTGTTATATTATTTTTCTTCTTTGTTCTTGATATCCAATCAGTGATTTTACAACTTTGATAATGGCGATCGATATTGGCCATTAAATGTAAAATCATACGTAATATATTCAAATGGAAATTTTAACGGATATTCCAATGATATTAACCTCCATTGAAATTATTCTAACGAAAATGTTTCGTCGAAATTTGTTTTTCATTAAAATTTTAGATTGTATATGATGATTCCTAAGGCTGTTTTCTCAATGGTTTTTTACCGTTTGAATATGCAATTTCCACTAAAATTTTTATTTTCACCCATGTTTCAATCTTAGAATCGTCAAAATCCAATGAAAAACTCATTCCAACGGCTGTGTTAGGAAACAAGGGAATCGAGTACAGTCTCATGCACGTGAAACGCATCATAAGAGGGTGAGACTAAATGCACCAGAGTGAGACTTATAAGTTAGGCTTATAAGCACACCATAAGAGGATTATAGGTTGGGCCTATTTCTCTATATAAATGTGAGACAACTAACAAGTGATATTTTAATATATTGGAATTGCCGTAGAAATTCCATTGGAATATATTTATGTTGAGATTTTATCAATTTCTTGTAGTATACTGTTGCCAAATCAAATAAATATACGGTTTTGCAGAATTATTTAAGAAAAAATTTCTCATGTGGGTCAACTTGCAAGTTAACCAAATCAAATTAAGCTGTCAATCCATTTTTTTTTTTTTTTGGCTAATGTTAATTGGTGCAAATCAAATTTCAGAAAAGTATTGTTTTAAAAAGCAAATGTTTCTAATAAACAACACGAATTCATAATTATATCATAATAACTCCTCTTAGCCAACACAAAATGTTAATAAAATTGAAAACAATTACATAAAAGCAGACATATATATAATGTTAATTAGAAACAAGATGAAATTAACATACTTCAATCTCGAATTCTAACAAACATTTTCATTTAGAAATACCAGCAAAATCAACAATAATCAGAAATATAACATAAAGTACTGCATTCTTATATATATATATATAACAAAAAATTGAAAGTTAACTTTCACGGCGCGCCGTGATTTTGAACAGCGATCGGTGAAGAGCAACATCTACAGCACGAGTCTTTGGGTGGAGGCTCACAACACACACAAGCAGGGCATATAGGCCTACTTGCAAGTACCTCTGCACACAACAAATTAAAATGAAATATATTAAACATGCAAAAATCGACTGTTCGAATAATGAAAATTTCCTTAGGTGATCGTTGCATGGGCCGATTATTTACCTCGAAAAACAGTGTACCGTGCATCGCATGTTGGTAAGATTGGAGATAAAACGAAGGCGAGAAGGATCAACGTCACGATTATGGACCTCGGATTATTGTTGCTTGCAGCCATGGAAAATGAAGCAAAAGAACTGATGATTTTTTTTTTTAAAAAGAAAATTGTTATTTAAGAAAAGAGTATGTTAATTATTAACTTATTATTGCTTGGTATTGGAGGTTTTGGGATAACTAGGTGTATTTATATATGCATTTTTTTTTTTTTTTTTTAATTTGGTGGAATAATTTAATTTAATGAATGCTGTTGTATTGACTCGTTCAAGGTAAACGCGCGGCTATGTTTGAAAATTCTGCAAGTCTTTGGATCCAACCACGATTTTATGCTTGTATGAACTGGCATCTTGTTTTTGACTTTTTTTTTTCTAATGTACTGTAACAAGTTTTTGACTTTGTTCGAGGATAGACAACTTCGACCGGACTGGTTTTTATCTCACCAACGGATCTCCGGTCTTGAATCAGGACGAGAATGTTGGAAACAAGCTCGTGCAGATAGCTTTTGGCTGTTAACGATGATTTTGACGAACTTTGAGACATCATATGAGGAAATTGAAGTACTGTTACGGATTGAGTCGTGAACTTTGAAATGATATATGATTTGTAATAAAAACTTTCACAAATTTAAAATTTTAGTTGTATTTTACAAATTGAACAATTTTTTAATTGATAAAAATAGTATATGGAATTTATATATATATTTTTTTTTTCTATTTACTACTATTAATTTTCATGCATTTCCGTACGGTCGAATTTTGTTCCAAAACTGAAGTTGTACGATGAATATAGGTTGTCCACTGGTTTCACACATATTGGTGATCCAACCGATATGTAACCGTTTAAATATTGTTTCGCCATGAAATATATACCGGATTATACAAGTTCTATACCAACTGAAAAATACATGCTAAAAGCCTTAAACGTTGAATTATAATGTTTTTTTTTCGTGGTCTCGTGTTCGAGCTCTGGGAATGCAACATTGTTAAAACTCTTGAGGAGAGCTTTGCCGCCCTTGTGGTCCTACCCGGCTCGATTCCGGATTAGCCGGTTTCCCTGTGGATCCGGAAACCGGAAGGTCCATGTACCAAAAAAAAAATAATGTTTCTTTTCTATATAATTTCTCAGTATTTTTACATTTTCCATCAAGTTTTTTACATGAATTTAATGGCATTATACATGTGATTTTTTGGACAAAATGTCATTTTTTTTTTTCTTGGGATAAAAATATCCTACCCTCAAGATGTGACAGAATTATCTTTTTAGTCATGGGCATAGTCGTATGGCCTTGTTTACTTGAAGGGATGGGATATGATGAGATAAGATGGTTTAATCCCACGAGTCAGCTTTACTAAATCTGTAATTATTTGGACATTTCAAGGATATAATTGACATTATAAATGTGGTTTTTTTAGACATAAAGTCCATTTTTGTGTTGGGATAAAAATATTCTACTCTGAAGATGTGATAAAGTTATCCTTTCAGTTATGAGTACAGGCGTGTGTCCACCTGCAACATACATGACACATATATAGGATTTATCTAATCCCGATCTCTGTTAGTAAACACTGAATAAAAGTTAAATAAGGAATGTTATCCCGTGCCGAATCAAGTCTACCAGTTTTGAGTTTGATAACGTCCGTTTCACATAGTTCGAGTTGCTGGTTTATCGTATAATCGACTTCGATTATATTAATTCGACCACCGTTCGAGTTTTTTGATATTTTTTCGAAAAAGAATTCCCTTTCCAGTTCGTTCAGTTCATTATTCGAAAAAGTTTCATTAATTTCATGTTCAACTCATAAGTAAACTTGCTGGTATTTTATTTCATTAACTCGAGGTTTATTTATTGGTTTGAATAGCTTAAAATTGAATAATGTGAAAAGTCAAACATAAAACTCAGTCTTAAATTGAAAATAACCTAAAATGTAAATCTTATATATTGAGAAGAATAAAATTCACACTTTAGATGAATACAAACTTAAAAAAAAAAAAATCAGGCATGGTAATGGAATTTCCCAAATCAATTACACAAAGTAGTAAAATGTGGACAAATTAATGCCATTACATAAGTTGGTGCAAAAGTAAAAGAAATGAGAGTTACATCTTACTACTTATACAAATAGTAAGATTAATTATTACAATTTGCAATTTATTTATATAATTCAAAAGGAGTAAGTTCGACTCGACTCGATTCAGCTCGATGCCGATTTCAGGGCTGAGGAGGGAGGCAGGGGCCACAGCCGCAGCAAGGGTGCGTGGGAGCCTGACAACAATTACAAGGTCCACATAATGTTCCTGCGGCCTTAACATCAAATCCAGCTGCCAAAAAGGAATAAATTCTAATTACTTGCTAATTAAATATACAGTATCATGATTTAATATTAGCTAATTCGCCCTATTTTATTTCGGATTTAAATAAATTTACCTTTGGAAGCCAGTCGAGCTGCTTCGCAGGGGCTAAACGACGATGAAAATACGAACACGATGATGAGGAATGTGACCATGAGACCACTTAATTTGGTAATTTTAGCAGCAGCCATAATTTGTTAATTGTTTTAGTATGATAATCAGTTTAATGGAGTTCTAATTGTTATGTATAATGATATTTTTGTTGGGAATTATACTTAGCTCTATAAATAGAAACCTGCTATCAAGTTGATATAATTTTATTTTTAATTTTTTTCTTGTAAAAAATATGTTCTGCATCAAAGAATTCAAACCTAAATGAATTATAAATTAAAAAATTATCTAATTGTTTGACTAAGTGATTATTTTAGAATACAAAATGTAAGGAAGACCGTTGAATATAAATATAATCTTTGATTTCTTACTTTAATCTGATTTATTTATTTATTTATTTTTATTCCGTTTACTATTATGAAACTTAAAGTGGTTTCGGATATAGGAGTATTTAAATGTGCATTCAAACCAATATGTTTTTTTTTTTTTTTTTTTT